TCACCTTCCTTTTCTTCGTGGTGGAGGTGGTGGTGAGCCGGGTCACGTCGTCGCTGGCCATGCTCTCCGACTCCTTCCACATGCTCTCCGATGTCATGGCCCTGGTCGTGGCGCTGGTGGCCGTGCGCTTCGCCCAGCGCACCCGTGCCACCAAGAAGAACACCTTCGGGTGGGTGCGGGCCGAGGTGATGGGTGCCCTAGTCAACGCCGTCTTTCTCACCGCCCTCTGCTTCACCATCCTGCTGGAGGCCATCGAGCGCTTCACGGAGCCCCATGAGATCCAGCAGCCGCTGGTGGTCATCGGTGTGGGGGTGGCAGGACTCATCATCAACCTGCTGGGGCTCTGCCTCTTCAACCACCACGGTGTCGGGGGCCACGGCCATTCCCATGGCCACGGGCACTCGCACAGCGGCAGGCAGCACTCCCGCAGCAGCCCCAAGCCTGAGCAGCCACACGGGGATGGGGAAGCTGCACTGAACCGGGAGGAGACCAGCACCTTAGTGGAGAACTGCAGAAGCTCCAACGGAGTCAGCCAGGAGAAGCTAGGTGAGTCCTGCTGTGCCTCCACCCACCCCCACCATAGAGGTGTCAGGAAGGCAGGAGAGGTCCTTTCCCCAAGGAATGTGGTGGGCATCCTGGTCCCACCTGGTGCGAGCTTTGTGGGGACCACCTGTCCTTCCTTCTGGGGAAAAAGCAAGAAAGTTTCTTAGTGGTGCTCTCAGGCACACGGCCGTTGTACCTCTACCTCACATCTTTCCTTTAAGTACTAAAAGGAGTGCCCTAAGCAGTGTGTTTGTCTTGCAGACAGGTCAGAATGTGAAAGAGAGTCTTAGGGTGAAGCAGTTTGCCTTGGGAAGAGCTGGTGCTGGTAGAGAGGGCACATGACAATTGTTTTTTGCCTAGCGACACAAGCTGTCACAAGACATTGCCCTAATGCCTCCTGAACTGGCTGCACATCAGATAGAGGGCAGCTAAACACCTTGGTCCTGACAGCTAGATCTCTCTGTTGAGTCAGTTATTTGCTACCTGAGAAGTTAGTATCCATCTGAATGTGACAAGCTGAAGTATATTCCATTGCAATAATGTTGTACTTTTCATGACATCTGTATTGAGAGGAAGAAGTCTTGGAAGTTACCAATCACAACTGTAGAAGTCATGCAATGGGCACTGAATGTGGAGCTCATTGGTGTCAAAGTACATGCGTGGTTTCTTTGAATTAGTTCTCTTTTGCTAAGCGTACACCTTCCCACTCACTTGCATATACAGATAAATTTAAAATCTTCCCTTCCTAATTGTCTATTTTGTGGGAGGGATTTTTTTTTTTTTAATGGATACAGAAGCCTGGATAGTTTATTTTGAAGTCACTTGGTTTAAGCCAAATACTATGTGTTAGTAGAGCGAAAGGTACGTAATCGCCGCTTCTCTTCTTCAATCATATGGCATCCCTGTTACCAGGAGGAGGGGATTTCAGCCTTCAGAACCCATGTCTTTCCTCTGTTTTCAGGGCAACATCAGGAGACCATTGGTTTAGCTTTAATTGAGCAGAGTGAACTTTGCTACAGTTTCAGTTTTTCTGTGGTCAGAGGTTCCAATACACATTTGAGAAACTCAGAAGTTTTGACTCCATGTTGGTTTTGAAAAGACAGGTTTTGCAAGAGGATAGGAAAGTTTGTCTGAATATATTACACCATTTTCTTGACCGCATATTAAGTTCTTAATGTTGGTTTAGTTCCAACACAGGTATCATAATAATTAGTTTCAAACAATGTAAAATTCCGTTAACCATTGATCTAATAGATCTATTGGCTTGTTAGTTGTTCTTGCATGGTGAAACTGAAGTTGTGCTTTTAGCCAAGTTTTGGACTAGTTCTAGACTAAAAGATTATAAAGTTAAAGCATGGATTAAAATGTATACTGTTTCAACCTAACTTGTCTGGAATTTCTCATGGATGTCCTTCTGGCAATAACAAATAATTTCTTGTGGGTATTTAGGTGGTAATAGGGCATAATTTTGATAACAGTGAAACTTCAAAATAAGTTTGTCTTTTCTTCTATGCCCTGTCATGATTATGTAATGGATGGAGTCATTCATAGTTTACCCATGGAAGTGTTATAGGTAAAGGTGCTCAGAGACTCGTGAGAAGCTGTAAGATGTGTAGGTGAAGAGTAGGGAAATGACTGAGAGTGGTGCTTTGCCTTCACTGGAAATTACAAAGAGAGGTAGACCCTGGTTTCCTAAGGTGAGAGTGGAAAGCCTAGTGATAGCCTTAGGGCTGGTCCTGCTCAGGTATCTCTGTGCATATGCTTTATGTGCAGTAATCAGTTTACAGTTAGGTTTGAATAAGCATATTTCAAATGAACATGGTTTAACCATTTGCTATTAAAGAATCTCAAGAGCTTTCTGGAACCGTGTTTCCTGTTACCCACCCTTGTACGTAGGTCTGACTTTCAGACTTTCCAAATCTTCTTTGTTCCGAGTACTTGGTACCCAGCAGAGTGCCAGTAAAGTTCGTCTTCCCTTGCTCTTTTCATGGACACCGAGGTCTGAACTTTGAAACCTGAGATATTTTCCTCTAAATTTATTAGTTTCTCTGGAAAGTTGCAGGTCCCATGTTCCATAACTGCTAGAAGTTGTGTGGAAAATGTAGCTGGAGCTTTAGGACAGAAATGTGATTCACAAGGTAATGAGCCTGGGGCTTGGAACTGACCCGCTCAGCCTGCCTTCGTAGGAGCCCACCCCTTCTTCAGAGAGGAAAGAACTTGTAGACACTTTCATGATTACAGAATCGCAGTCATGAGAGCAGAGTGGCAGAAGCTGCAGGTCATACTAACATGTTAATGTTTACAAAGCTCTGAACTGAATAACCCCAGAAGCAGTAAGAGCTCCTTGTTTCAGTTTGTCGGACCAGTGACCAGTGCCAGTCTTTTCTTTAACACTGGAAGTTTTCTGTCCAAAGAAGAACTTTGAAGAAAAGTAGGGGGTTCATCATGTAAAATACTTTCAATTTTGAACATTGGAGAATGTTTTTTCTTTCAAAAAACATTGTTCTTTGTAGTGATGTATGCATTTATTCCTGTATAGCTAGTTAGATAAGATGGAATGTTGGTATCGTGGGCAGTTTTGACAAAGGAGGGCACTAAAAGGTTCATCTGTGCATTGCACAGTCCATGACATATGGGTTTGGGCATCAACAGCTATCTGTCACTTGACAGCTATATGTCATTTAATTAAAAAAAAGTACTAAAAATATGTTTTTGATGTGTTCTGAAATATAAATAACACTAGTTCATAGCCTCTGAGAGCTTCAGTGATAACTTACACTGCCCTGTAGTCAACACTGCTGATAAATTCTGTATTTTAGACCTAAAAGGTCGGCTCATTGTATCTCACAGTTCTGCTGGCTCCATGCGCCATCTCAGAATAACTTCCTTTTCCTTGAATTCAGAAGTCTTTTGGAAATTAAGTACTAAACCTGGAAAGAAGTTACTGTAATGCAGTATCCATACAGCTTTTGAGCTTCTGGCCTCATCAATTTTAATATAAAATAGCAAGGCAGTCCTGTGGTTTAAGATATTTTAGCAGTGTGGTTAGCCTTCTAGCTTTTCAGAAGAGGGAACAAAAGTAAGTTACTTAGCTACTTAGCCAGCTTTTTTTATATGCTCTGCAAATCTGCATTTTGTTTAAGAAATGAAAGGTGAGTAGTCAAGTGGTTAAACAGATGGAAAATGTGAAAACAGTTTTTCAGTAAAATAAAATGTGTTCATCTTCGTACTTTGCCACTATACATCTTTAAGCTCCGTATAGAAGCAGTTGCCTTCTGGACTGTGTAGATCACTTATTGGGACAACTGAATGTTTCTCAGCCAGAGAAAATGCTGCTAAGTGTTACTGGTAGAGTTGCTTGTTTTTCAGTTTTGTGTTTGATGTGTCAAGCTTAATGTTGGTTATTATTTTATATGGAATTATAGTAATGTGCGGCATTATAGCATATGTCTAATCATTTTACTATTTTCTTGTCAGGTGATATGAAAGATGACATGACTGACCTACAAGTGAATGGGAACGCTGGTCATTATCCTCTGGATGTAGAGGAGGTTGAAGAAGACTCTAGTGCACAGCTTAACATGCGTGGAGTTTTTCTGCATGTTTTTGGAGATGCCTTAGGTTCAGTAATTGTGGTGGTGAATGCCTTGCTCTTTTATGGGTTGTGGAATCCATGCCCCAAAGATGGGCCCTGCTTTAATCCATGTGTCAATAATCATTGCATGGAAAACGCTACTTTATCCCAAACACTTGGCAGAGAAAACAAGTCTGAGCAAGAGAGCATTACAGTGGCTGGTCCATGCTGGTTGCTATATTTAGATCCCGTCCTTTGTTTGATCATGGTGTGTATACTCCTGTACACAACTTACCCATTACTTAGGGAGTCAGCCCTTATACTTCTACAGACTGTTCCCAAACAAATAGATGTTCATTCTTTGAACTCAAAATTACGTACCCTTGAAGGAGTCGAAGCAGTCCATGAATTACACATTTGGCAGCTAGCAGGCAGTAGGATCATCGGCACTGCTCACATAAAGTGTCCTGACCCTTCCACGTACATGATGGTGGCAAAGCGCATCAAAGAGATCTTTCATGATGAAGGGATTCATGCGACCACCATTCAGCCTGAGTTTGCCAGCGTTGGCTCTGAATCAGGGAGAGGGAAATGTGAGTTTCCTTGCAGGACTCAGTGTGCTTTGAAGCAGTGTTGTGGAACAGGAGAAGATAGTACTGCAAAGAAGACAGAAAAATCTTCGTCACTTAGTATTTCTTGTTCAGAAGTTGTCATTGAATTTCCAAAAAGTAGGAGGACTAAATCGGAGAGCATCCCTTCAGTTAAGCTAGAGGCAAACACCGATCAAAATGAGCAGTTTGAATCATCTTTGTAACTGCCCGAATGGTGCTACGTGAGTTATGGTGACTTTGACAACACCTATATTGCAAGAGGAAGAGACAGACGTTTGAGATGCAATTCTGCCAAGTAGTGTAATTGCTGAAGTCCTTGTTCATGTCATATTGCTAAATCTAGAATGCTTGTTTTAAAGAACATACTGTCACTGTCATGATACAATGTATTTGTGTTGACTTTGTACTGAGACAGACAGAAAGTGCAGCGATGCTGTAACAACTTCAGAAAACCAGTTTCAACTTTTCAGCAGAGACACTTTTTGCTGTGCTTCAAATTAAGATATTTTTTCCAGTGAAAAGGTATTTGAGGAACTCGATTTGTGTTACATATTTCTTGGACCTACTCTTTCCTTTAATATTTGATTTGTAGATATTTTAATATATTGTTTATTTAGAAGCCCTAAGGAAACCAAAGTTCATAGAACATTTTTAAAGATATAACTACTTAAAACTGGAAACCACTTTGCAGTTTCACATATTTTTCTTAAACCTATATAATAATAAACGTGAAGGCTTTTCTAATGAATTTATCGTATAGCATATTTTAAAGAGAACATCATGTGATTGTTATAAACTGTCCCCACTCTTTCTGGTAAGGTAGCGAGGGAATTAAAATCAACTGCTTGTGAAAATATCAGATGTGAAAGGTTTTTTTTTTTTCTATCAGAATGGAAGTTCAAGCTACTGTATACTGCTCTGTGATCAAGATGTAAGACCGACCGATAAAGTAATGCATGCTTTCATATTATGGATTTTCTGGTGTTTTTCCTTATTTCCAAGATGTGACTGGTCATGAAAGTCTTTGAAGTTTAAAGAATTTTTGATTCGCAGTGCTGTGAATGAAGAGCTGGAGCTTCATTTTTAACTGATGCTCAGTTTACTAAGATAAAAGAATTAGTTATGTCAATAAGTGCTCTGTCAGGGGAATCTGCCAAGCACGAACAGGGTAATTCATGCTTTTAAGCGTAGACAGGATCCTCCCTAACAAGTGATTCAGTGGTGCATTTTTCTTGTAGTTGAGTATATCTGTAAGCACTTGCGGTGACTGCAGTCCTGGTCCCTGCAGTGTCCTCAGGAGCCTTCTGCTGACTTTTGAGGAAGTGGGGTAGGGGGCAAGATTTCATTCACTGTGTTTCACACTTTGAGATGTTTATGTAGCCCATAATTTCACTTATTAAGTACCCAAATTTATGGTTTAAAATGTTGACTCAGTTAACTGCCAACTGGCTCTAAAGAAGCTGTTACAGTATGCTGCCAACTTACACCTTAACAAAGGAGAAACTGGTCTGTGGACTCTGAATTTGGCACAGATTAGATGAGAGCTGAAGATAAAACACAGGAAATCTAAAACCCTGACCCTTTCGATCCAACCTTGAGTTATGCATGGGAAATAATGTCTTGTGATTTAATTGACTGCTCCTGTGCTCAAAACTGGAAAACAACTCAGATCTTCCATTGTTTGCTTTATGACTCTGGACATGATAAACACTCTGCCTGAGTTTCCCTGTCTTAAAATGGGGATAATACCTACCTCACAGGGGTGTTGTGAGGCTTAACTCTTGTGTGAGGAGCTCTGAGATCTGTTACTGGAAGGCACTGGAAGGAGTATAAGATACTAAATGACATGGTATTTACTTCTTCTACAGATGTATTGCAATACCTAGGCACAACAGAGGGAATTGAGGATGGTTTTGGCCTTATGAAATTCTTTGCTGTGGTTTTCAGGTTTTTAACAGTATTTAAATGTAGATTTTTTTTAAAAAAGAATGTTTTATTAGTGAAGGGAATGTAGCTTTGCCTCCAGACACAGAACACCTCACTAGTTTGCATTTCTAATGTGTGTCTTGTATTAGAATTGCTCCTAAGTAGTTCAAAATAGTCTGCTGCTTGTTGGACCTGGATTGCCCCAGGTCGTGTCAGTGGTCTTACCCAACTTCTCAGCAGAGCACTGCAGTCAACTCTTGATTATCCATGGGTGGATTACCAGTGTTGTATATTAACTGTGCAGTCTGCAGGGCCAGACTACCTCTGTATCGAATGCTGATGCATTGGCCAAATGCTATGTGCCAAAGCATCAGAATAGTAGAGGAACTCAGTCCAGTCTTGCATGAGCCCACTCGCAGAGGGTTTGTGAGCTTGGGTGCACGCAGCACTATGCAGTTATTTTGCCTCTTGGCTGCTCAAATGCATCCACAGGAAGCAACAGTGTATGGTTGGGTCGTTTCAGCTTTGCTCTAGCTTAGGGATGTTGGTGCTTCACAGCCATCAGCATCACTCACTTTTTTCCATGTTTATGCTTGTTGTATAGTCCCATAAACTAACTTAAATATGTTAATATAGTATTTATATATGTTTCTGTTTTGTCTGAATTATCTTTTTCTCCTGTTACCTGTATATGATCTAGAGTTGACTGAAATGAGATGTTGTATGAGACTACATTTGCAAAATATGCTACCACTGCTAGTATGCTACAAAGTATTAACCAAGTAAATTTTGAAATGAACAAAGTACTATTTTTCTTGGAAATGTGTATCCTTGCTTTTTATGGTAAACTTTCACTAATTATTTTGCTTGCTGGTTTAAAATTGGTCTCATTCATTAGTATGAATTATTGAGGTCCTGCTGTATATCGCTAAGACGCCATAGAACTACTGCTCTTTAGTTTATTTAAAAAAAAAAAAAAAGCCAAGACAAACCATAGTAGCACTGGGAAGCCTGACTTATTTCTCTCCTGTTGCTCTTGTAAAAAGAGAGCAACTATTAAGTGTTGACAGTTGCCACCATTGGTTAACAGTCTCAGTAAATGCATCTGAATAGATGGAGTTGTAGTCACTAATTCCATTGTAACTATTTAATCTTTTTGTGTGCTCCAGAAGTAATATTTTTCTATTTCTGTGTCCATTGCAGGCAATGGCTAGCTTAAAAGACAAAAAGCTCTCCCCCACATTATTTTTATTATCAGGACAGGATGCAGGTGTGACGATGATGATGATGGTGAGGATGCGAGGAGGAGTTGTGTGGCCTCTCTGTCATGTGCTGTGTTGCATGTGCAGCAACAGCTGGTGTTAACATGGCCCTTTAGTCTCTGTCCCTTGATGGCAAATTCCTTGAAAGCATATAGTCGGGTCAAGGTGGTGCTGTACAGCAGCAGGAACAGAGTTTTTGTGTTTGTTCTGGCTGTGTGAGACCCAACTGTAGCCTGCTAGCTTGTGATATAGCTTGATCTTTTAACCCTTATCTGTCTGTAGTTACACAGGCTTGATTTGTTCTGAAGATCACAGTTCCGGAATACTGGGAGCATTAAAAAAACACTGCAGTCTCTCTTTTTTTTTTTTTTTTTTTTTTTTTTTTTTCTTTCTCCACAAAGCATGAAACTAGTGAATCAAATGTAAGTGAACACTGCAGTGGTGGGGAGCTAATTGTATTGTGTATCACATTCCTGAATTTTTAAAATAAAAAAATATGGAACACTGATTTTAAAGAAAAATAAGTTTGTATTTCAGTGTCTAGATTGTTTATGCTTGTGATTAAATGTGTCAGAGATGTACCAGACATCACTGGGTGAAATATTTTGCCCTTAGTACATCTTATCCAGAAACATGCTATTTTAGAATCACTTCTTAGATTATATTTGCCCCTAAGGGTGCAGTGCAGAAATAATTCAGACACTCAGTGGGCTAGCAACAGTACCGTGAAGCTTTACTTTTTATCAGAGTAAGTTGCGTCTGTGGAACCCCTTATAATTTTAACTTTTTTGCTTTCAACATCCACTCTAGGCTTTTGGTAATGCCTTTTATTGCTGCATCATGGTATTCAGTACGGACGTACACATAGTTATGTAAAAGACAAAACTAGCCTCAACTTGTGACTCCCCAAAAGTCATGGCAAGGGCTCAGTCCTGTAAATTTCTGTATTCATGAATAGTTTCATCAGGCTGACGAGTAGTTACTTGCATGCAAGGAATTATTTGTGGGAGTGAGTCCAAAGCTGCAGCCAGTACAGCCTGTCTTTTGAAGAATGACTGGAAGTACCTTGATTTTATGAGTGTATTAAAATCAGGAGTACTGTGGTGTTTCTAAATTTGCAGCAGAAATACTATCAATTTGTTATAATCTTAATGTCAGGATTTATTCTCTTTCCCCATTCTCCAAAAAGAAAGGAGAAAAAAAAGCCCACTGAGTGTCCTAAGACTTTTTAACAAATTTAGCTAAACTGACATTGCCATTTGCTTCTGAAATTGGGCTGAGTTTATTAAACACTGCCTAGCGGAGTTTGGGGAGGAGGGATAAAGATTCTTGCCATTCTCCTTCCCCTGCCCCCTGCTTTGACTGCACTTTCTAATCTCTTCAGCTATGGAGAGACTGGGGGGGAGAGAGGGGGTGAATTTTGTAGCTACATGTTCTGAGTTCCACGTGGAGGGAATGGGAAATACTGCCAACTATATTTAAAAGCATATAAATATACTTTGACCATTTTATTTTCATAGCATAGCATCAGTTACGCCTTTTTTAGATACGCATTTAAGTTGTTCAGCTCTCTAGTAACTTTGGCTTTTTCTTTCTCTGCTGCATGGAAAGAGGTGGATGCTCCATTTGCCTGAGCTAAAGCCAGTCTTGACAATTTTCCAAATCAAATGTAGCTTTGCTGATAACAGGAGGTCTGATTATTCCTTATGACCTTTGCTTTGTGTGGTTAGCTGCCTGTGAGGTACAGTACCATAGTTTAGTTTTTTTTTTTTTTTTTTTTTTTTGCATCCACCGTGTTATCTGAGTATTTGAAGAGCAAAACCACAATACTGAAAAATATCTTTTATCTATGTCTCCAAAAAGTGCATGAGATTAATTTTGGCTTCTTCTTTTTAGTTGTTCTGGATCCTGTTTCTGAGCATTGTTAAAATATAATTGGCATACCTAGTATTCATTGATTGTATTTCTTTTTGCCGCCTTTTAAAATAAGTAATATACATATATTTTTTAATTAAGTATTAAAGTCCTGAGAAAATAAATGGAGTTCTTGAATGTCAAATACTTTTAGTTGGGATTTCTTGCTCAGGTCAGTTCCTAGGAAGAAATTTGGCAAGTAGAAATGCACTTTCATCATCTCCCAGAATCTCGGAAACAAGTACAAAGAGCACAAGTAGAAGAGGAGGTTAATAAGTGGGTTGTAAAGTGATGGTCTCCAACTGTCTGTATTCCAGGTACAATTAAAAGAATAGTTGCTCAGTTCTAGTATCCTGTGAAGAGTTAATTATGCAAAACACCCTTTTTAAAATTAGAAAAACAGCCTTTGAAAATAATAAAATCTTCCTGTCCTGTTAATTAGCTGTGATTAAATATCTAGCATACAGTCAATAGGGTAGGCCTCCTAAAAAGCGTCTACTCTGTTTTATTTGATGTCAAAAGTCTTTGGAAGGTAGCTACTTTAGTCTTTGGAAGGTAGCTACTTTAGAGGAGCAGATGCTTTGGTGTTTTTCAGCTTTGTGTGTTTCCATTCAGAAACACTGCAGTTTGTAAAGTTTGTGGGGAAGAAAGTCCTGACTGCAGAGAAAGATACAGCTGCCAGCACTGAGGAGGGCAGGATCGTTGTTAGTACCTGCCTTGAGCTGTTCATGAGCTTGCAAGGATGAGTTATTTTGGAGCCCTTCACTGGTGCAGCTTCAGCAGCTGCTTTTCTCTGCTTCAAGAGGGAAAAGTGGTTCCATATTATTAGTTATATAGAAAGGAAAGTGTTTGGTTGTACTG